AGCTGGGAAATGTTGAATAAACTAAAGTTTTAGAAGAATATGTCAAAGAGAAAAGTTCTTGTTGCATGTTTGAAAATGTTCTGTATGTTTGTAATATAGGTTGGAAAAGCTAGTACGTACGTGCATGCGTGAATATGCTTTTAACGTCTGACCGCCCATGATCGAGACGAGAATCCTTACGATCACATCGTCGCAGGAATTTGGAAGATTAAAAGAATAATATATTTATTTCTGTAAAATACAGAAAATGTGGCACAAGGCCTAAAAAGGGGTGGGAAAAGGACGGTCATCATATTTCTTCATTTTTAAACTTAGCTAGCCACAACCACTGACCCAATCAAACAATACAATATTCCTACCACCAAAACAACACATTCATACTTACCTTCTTTACTATATCCACCAAAATACCTCGTTGTCTCCATGAAAATCCTTAATAGTCCCCATATGTACAAATCGTTGTCTGTGGCGAGAGGGGAATGAAAAATAAGTTAAAAAATCCCCAATGATTAGATACAATATGGTTATAAATTATTTACATGCAACTAAACAAAATCATGTTAGTAATACCCCCCAAACCTTAAATGTGGCAGAAATATCAGTTAACTAGACGAAATCGATGCTGGGCTATAAAAATAAAGAAAAACATTCATCCATCCCAAGCACACACACAAACACGCACTCATTCTGACACAACAACAAATACGAAAAGAACACCCGCGAAACGAAAAGCGCCCCGCATCCACCAGAGAACTGACGTCACGGACCACCTAACGAGGGAGGGGATGGGGAATTAAACTTAAATAAAAATTCAAATAACCAAACCTAAGCTAACCAAATTTCGGGATGAAATGAGCGAACTCGTGTCTGCTATTTTTAGATAATGTAATCACGTGACAGGATCACAGTAAATTGGCGGAAAACTTGATTTGGTCACGCACTGGAAAAATATTTGTACGTGGGTGGATTGCAATGCCCACTTGTGTGTTTCTTGACCAATTAGAAGCTTATATTTCCTGAAAATACTTACTAAGCCAAGCAGGCTCTCTGATCCACTTTTTTACAGAAAAATGTGCAAAATTAGATATTGATAAGAAAGTGGTATCATAGAAATGATATTGCTCCAGAAGGAATTTTTCTTAGAGGTTTCATTAAGTGCAGACATATTTACGTATTGATCGGTAATTGTGCTGATGGGAAGGATAATTGTATACTCTTCCTGTGATCAAAATAATATTCATTCTTCCGAGACATAAGACCGTATCACCTTCGAGCTAGGATCAATGTGTAGAATCTGTTAACTGCCTTTGGGGCAAACAAACTACATTTTATCATTCTACTGTTGTTCTGTCATTGGACAGAATACAACAAATAAATGAGAACTGAAGGGTCACGGAGATTCCAACTCTGCGACAGTACTTCCCTCGTTGCATCTAAAAGGGAGGGTCGGTGGAATATGGTGTCACGGCGAGGAAATAACAAGTGTAGAACCTGTTCTTCGGGTAGTTCTGTCTTTGGCCAGTAATGTTGTTCATGATGACGGTCGTCTTCGAGTATAGAATCTAGAGGTTAGCAGTGAATATTTCGAAGACAGTAGGAAAGCGTTGTTCAGGTTAGCAGTGGATATCCCGGTAAAAGTGGCAGAGCATAGTTCGTCCTTCTGTTTCTCTTCGCCCGACAAGCTGGACTGGACATTCGGATAGAGTAAACAAAATGGCCGCCTTTATACACGACGGATTGAATATTCTACGTCTTCTGATTGGTTAACCTTCTATTGGTGGACTATAAAGTGAGTTAAGTCATTTGAGCTAACTCACTAGTTATATATATATATATATATATATATATATATATATATATATATACATATATATACAAAAATGTAACAAATAATACATTTAGAGATGCTTGGTACTGGGGATTTCATCATTGAGGTAGCACCTTCCTCTCTAAAGGAAAACTGTGGTGGAAACCGCCGTCAGCATGACAATGATCATGTGTGTGTGTGTGTGTGTGTGTGTGTGTGTGTGTGTGTGTGTGTGTGTGTGTGTATGTTTATAAATGGGGAGACAATTTGTTTTTTTTTTAAATGAAGAAACTTACCCGTTACTTATTCAGTACATCAAAATCCGTCTGTGGGATCGTCCGCTACATTTGTGGATTGGGAGCCTAGATTTTGGACTCTCCCATTCCGATGGAGTCCAACCCGATCAGTATGGGAGAGTATGGAGATCAGACTTCCCCAATCCGTGGGTGAAGCAAGCGGGCCTGCGCATGCATTTGATTGGAGGATGGTTGATTTGCTATTTTTTAGGGTTGCAAAATCTGTTTTAAAGCTATTTGCATTCTGCGACTAATGTTTTCAAACGGCTTATGGCGTGGTCACATGCTGACATTTGATCAACACCAGCAGAGCAATCTGGGTGAAGAAGTCTGATATTGGATAAACCCGAAACTCCTAAGGATCACAATGCAACATCACAGATGATGTGTCTGCGGTCATCTTACAGATTAATTCCACAAAGATACTGGAACGTTCATTCTTCATTTAATTTCTTCTTCTTTTGTGCCGGTTCCAAAGTGTGCCTGCAAATTTGTAATTTTCAATTCAAAATAAAATGTGAATTGTTTTTTATAACTTTCCTGCATATTGTTAAGTAAAGAGAAAATATTCTGATGTCATGAAAGAGCAATACAAATGCAGAAGGATGTGCAATTGTCTTTTCTAGACTACGCAAAGGCATTCGACAAAGTACGCCACAAAGACCTGTTGAAACTGTTGATATATTTGGGAAAGATCTTAGAATAACCAAGAACCTATACTGGAAGCAAATAATCTGCATACGGATAGAAAATGGGTTCACAAAAATAGAAAGGCGCGTAAGCCAAGGATGTGTCTTCTCACCGGACTTATTCAACCTATACAGCGAGGTAATTCTGAGAGAATTGGAAATCCTACCGGGAATCAGCATTGGCGTACACAATCTTAACAACATAAGTTACGCAGATGACAGAATGCTGATAGCAAACACGGAAAAGAAATTACAAAAAAACCCACAGAATAGTAACGAAGGAGAGCAAGAAGAAAGGACTAACGATAAACTACAAGAAGACATAATACATGGTCCTTAGTAAAAGGATCAGCCCGAAATGCGATTTGCAGGACGGGAATACTAAAATCAAGCAGACGCGGAAGTTTAAACATATGGGAAGCGTCTTGACAGAGTACGGTAAGTGCGACACTGAGCTCCGTAGACGTATTGGGTTAACCAAAGACGCATTCCAAAATCTGGGCAGAGTATTGACAGACAGGAGGATTTGTTTGGTAACAAAGAAAAGAGTACTGAGCTGTGACATCTGTCCTCCTTTACGGCCGCGAATTTTGAACGGTCTCCTCAAAGAGGAAGAAGAGACTCTAGGCAACGGAGATGTGGTTCTACAGAAGGATGCTAAGGATATCATGGACCGAGCGTGTGAGCAACGATGGGGTCGTAGAGAGATTGCAAACAATGAGGAGTCTTACACTTAACAGCAGGAAGAAGCAGCTGAAATTTCTGGGACAGGTAATGAGAAAAGAGGGCCTGGAGAATCTGATATTCACAGGTCGAACAGAGAGAAAGAGAGACAAGAGAAAGCAATGCACGACATACCTGACGGGCTTAAGCAAGTGGATGACAGAACGTGGTCTGGTGAAAGTGGCAGATGGATAAAACTTATTGAGAGCTACAAGGTATAGGGGGAAGTGGAGAGCCATGATCGCCTACGCACTGATGATAAACGGCACTTAAAAAGAAAGAAAAGAATTGACCAGTGAGGAATTTTTCAGCTACAACTCTTCGCAACGTACCATAATATTTTGATAATGTTGAGGAAGAGCGGTCAGCTTGAATTCTAGAAAATACTTGATTTCAGTTCTAAAGTAAACGTCATCACATCATCAAAACCAAAATAATCTGTTTTGCAGCGTTGGTTGAAACTGGATAATTTCAAAATAAACTTCTAAATGGATATAATATGTTAAGTTGATGCATGCATAAACTTGTCAGCTTCAACTACTGAAAATAGTTCACAGTTTTTTACTATCGCTGCACAATTAAAAAAACATCGCTGGAAACAACATTGATGTCGAGAATAAATAATTCTTTTCGTTAAAATATTAGTTTTATCTGCCATTGATATCGAAAGTAAAGGAAGTCGTTTTTTTTTAATAAAATCAAGCTGAGTATCCATTGAGATTTAGAATAAAAGAATCATTTTCGGTTAACAATCAAGTTGAGTATTCATTGAGATTTAGAATAAAAGAATCATTTTCAGTTAACAATTATGCTGAGTATTCATTGAGATTAAGAATAAAAGAATCATTTTCAGTTAACAATTACGCTGAGTATTCATTGAGATTTAGAATAAAAGAATCATTTTCAGTTAACAATCAGACTGAGTATTCATTGAGATCGAGTAGAAAAGATTTGGTTGCTTTAAACAACCTGGCTGTATATTCACTGAGCTGGAAAGAAAATATATCTATTTAATCAAGGCGAACTAAACCAAAGTAAAATAACTTCCAAAGGTTGTTTTTTTTGTTTTGTTTTTCAAAAGAATCAAAATATATTTCTAAAAGACAAAACGTAACATTGATATTATGTAAACTCTTTCAAACTTATATACCAAGATAGTAATCTCCAAAAAACAAGTCCACTAATTATATTTAAACATCAGCATGTTTTATCTCTCTCTCTCTCTCTCTTCGTGTGTGTGTGTGTGTGTGTGTGTGTGTGTTCGCGCGCGTGTGTGAGGTGTGATGTTATGTGTTGTAGGATGAATATTTAGTTTAATTGTTAAGCGACAACAGAAAAAGGCATGGATCCGTCGAAGTGTCGCTGTTTACTGGTCGTGAAGTCACCAGAGAATAAGTCAGGTTTGGTGACAGGTGTTCCTTTCAGATTGGTGTAATAAGCAACACCGATGATCAGTGCAATTATCTCAAGTGACAGTCGACACAATTAAGATAGATAGATAGATAGATAGATAGATAGATAGATAGATAGATAGATAGATAGATAAGGGAGGAAACAGAGAGAGATAGCTAACGAAATTATGTATAGCCATTCGGAGAGACAGCGACAGAAAGAAAGACAGCGAGATTTTGAAAATGAACTGTTAGCTAGAGAGAGACAATGGCAGAGTCTGATAGGATATATTTTGAAAGCGAACTGACTGATATACAGACAGAAAGACAGACATATATCTTTCAAATTTTGGAAAACGAACTGATAGAGAGAAAAAGGTACATAGGTTTTGAAAATTAACATAGATAGGAATATAGATTGAGTTAGGGAATCGGGGAGATAGATTGATAGATAGATAGATAGATAGATAGATAGATAGATAGATAGATAGATAGAAAATGAGCTAGAAAATAGCTAGCTAGCTAGTTATTTTTATTTTCTATCTATTTATCTATCTATCTAGCTAGCTAGCTAGTTAGATAGATAGATAGATAGATAGATAGATAGATAGATAGATAGATAGATAGATAGTGTTGTGGATTCCGTGAATGGAATCCTGCACAAATAAATAAATAACGCCAGTAATTTAGATAGAAAAATAAGTGTATTAAACGTAAGAATACAGAATTAAAGTGAAGATTAGTACTCCAGGAATGCGGGTTAGTAGAAAGTATATGTACAAGTCTCTGTAAGTAAAGCCGTAATCATCTTTCTCCTTCTCTCTGGACTCTTTTATAACTCTCTGAGAACACCCTGTGTCTGTCTCCGTATCTCAACAACGTATCTTCACGTATCTCAACGTATCTCAACAGCAGGTATTCTCTCTGTCAGTATAAGTATACTTTGGACGAGTCCATCTCATGTAAAAAGGGGAGATCCCCCACAACACCCCCCTCCTTAGATTCTTTTTTGTGAGGGAGTTAATATTTTTTCACTTATGGTCTATTATTAGTGGTTCCGTAAATTTTCTTTTTCGGCTTGTTCTTCTGATCTCCGTGGCTACTTGTGATTTTTGAATTTCGAAGGCTTCGAAAATCGCCTCCATCACGTCTTCATTTTCGGAAGGTGACGTGTTTGGTTCCTCTACCCGTCTTTTCTGTATCTGATTCATTTGTCTCCTGTGAGTGAATTTTTCACCTTGGATCGTGTATAGAACATTCCCCAGTCTGTTTACTATCGCGCCTGGTTCCCAGTATGCCATATTATTCTTGAACATTCTGAAATAGACCCGTTCACCTGGTTTGAAGGATCTTTAAGGCATTATCGGTGTATACCGGTTTTTATTTTTGCTGTTTATCAAAAGCAGACCGTATTTTGCGGGCAAACATCACTTCGGCTGGCGAAAGACCAGATGGTGTGTTTCCGTTCGGTGTGATTCTGTAGACTTGTAGAAACTGTTGTATGGCTCTTTCTGTTGGTACGTCCTCTGCTTTTTTCAAGGCTCTCTTAAACGTTTCCACAAACCTTTCGGCTTGCCCGTTAGATCGTGGATGGTATGGTGCTATTTTAATATGTTGACTTGATAAGTCGCACAGAATTCTTGAAAGTCGCTCGAGGTGAATTAGGTATCAATATCCGTTACAAGGCAATCTCCAACGCCGAATCTTGCGAATAACTCGTGTAGACAGTTAATAGTGTTTTCCGTCGTAGGGTTTTTGTATCTGAAAACTTCTGGCCACTTGCTAAAGATATCTACCGTTATCAAGGATTAATATCCATCTATGGATCCTGCATAGTCCGTATGGATTCTAGACCAAGGTCTGTCCACCTTAGGCCATGGTTTTTGTATAATAGGTGGTGCCTTTGCTGCCGCAGCACAGCCTCTACATTTTTCTACCATTTGAGTAATGTCGTTATCCATATTAGGCCAATACACTAAACTTCTCATTGACGCTTTCATACGATTTTTTCCCTGGGTGTCCTAGATGAAAGTCCTTCAGAATTCGTCTTTATAAAGATTTGGGTATGACCACTCTTTCATTATAAAGTAATACGTGATTACAAATTGAAAAACACTCCGCTAAATTTCTTTCTTTTTCTTCTATTTTTCTCTTTGTACTTTGTATGAATTCATCCATTTCAGCTTCTCTTCTGATTTCTAACAAGGTCACTGGTAATTGCCTTACTGTATTGTTTAGAACTTTACTAATTTCGTCTTCGGCTCGCAAAGCCGCTATTACCGAGTCTTCCAGAGGTTCGCATTTCGCAGGTACCAATCTAGATAATCCATCCGCATGACCAATTTTCTTCGACGGTAGGAAATCTAGTTTGAAATTATAATTCAATAATATAGTTCCCCATCTCAGAAGTCTGTTGGCTATGTAAATTGGTAGTCCTTTTTTCGATCCTAATATAGTGAGAAGAGGTTTATGGTCAGTTTGAAGAGTAAACGCTCTTCCATATATGTATCTGTGGAAGCGAGTTATGGCAAATATTATGCCTAACGCTTCTTTCTCAATTTGCGAATAATTCCTCTCTGATGGTAACAATGATCTAGATGCGTGAGCTATAGGTTTCCTTGTGCCATCCTGCATCTTGTCTAATATACAAGCTCCCACTCCGTGTGAACTTGCGTCACCAGCAATGATAATTTCCAGTTTGGGATCAAAATGCGTCCAGTTCCATTTGTTATCTTTTTTCAATAATTCATTGAAGGGAACCCTCATTTTGTGCATGTTTTCAATGAATTCACCGTAATAGTTCGCTAGACCAAGAAAGCTTTGCAACTCTGCGACATTTTTTGTTGCAGATGCCCTATCTGGGTCTGTTTTTCTGCCACTTTCATTGATTATATGGCCTTGATACTTGATTTCTTTTAGAAAAAATCGCATTTTTTCTCCTTCACTTTAAAACCAAAATCCTGAATTTTTTTAAAGACTTCTTTAATATACGTTGCGTGTTCTTCTACATTATCGCTTTTGATTAAAATGTCGTCTAAGTAAGCAGTAGCAAAGTTTTGTCCCATGAGCATGGTATCCATAGTCTTTGTATTTACTTCTTCTACTGGAATCTGAAGATAAGCTTCGCTTAAATCAATCTTAGAAAATACCTTACCACCGTTAAGCGTGGTAAATATTTCCTCCGGGCTTGGCAATGGGTAGAGATAATCCTTGATAGCCTTATTTAACCCAGTCGAGAAATCTGCGCAAACACGTGTTTCTCCGGATTTTTTCTTTACGTAGACCACTGGTGGCGCCCATTCACTGAATTCGATTTTTGAAAGGATTCCAGTTTGTACCAATCTATCTAACTCCTTGTCATTTTTTCTATGGTTGCGAAAGGCACGTTTCGCTTTTTCTTGAATACTGGCTGAACATTTTCCTTTAGTTCAATTTTAGCTGCAAACTTATTACATCGTCCCAAACCGCTCGAGATTACTTCGGGAAATTGCCTGTGTAGTTCTTCTTTTAATTTTGTAGCTTCTGACGGTTCACACTCTATTTTCTTGCAAAATGAGCCAATGGCTAAATCGCATACGTCAAATGTTTGCATCCAATCCGTGCCCACCAAATTTTCAGTGTCTTTCATTACAAATATCTTCAATTTTTTCGTTTACCATGGAATTTTACATTTAGAATTACTTCTCCTTCAAAATTGATACACCTCACTGTAACAGACTTGGCAATTTTCTATGTATGCATCATGGTCGGTCTATTTAGCTTCCTCCATGTCTGTAAATTAATTATAGTTAGATCCGATCCTGAGTCTAACTGTAATTTTACCTTCTTATTTAAGATCTCGAGTTCCACGTATTTTCTTGTGTTTAGTTTGTCTTCGTAGTCCATTCTAGTAGTTCTTACCCTACAAGTGTGTTTTTTGTTTCTGCATTGAGATGCCTTATGTCCCATTTTTCCACTAGCTAAACAGTTCTTGTATTTAAAACGACAGTCTTTATTCCAGTTGAATCCGCCACATCTGTAACATGCAGATGGGGGTGGTTATATTTGGTTTGATTTCTGTCATTAATCGCCTTATACCTTGTAATTTTTTCTTTATCATAAAATTTTTGTTTTTCTTTCGGGAGGTGGGTGAAAAACGTAACTTTTTGTTCAACTTACGTATGTGTTCTACCCCCGATTCGTCGATATACTTAGAGTCTTTTTTTATACTCAAGCATTTTTGGCAGTCTTCTGACATTTTTTGTACCGTTAATCCAGGCTCGTTTTGAAGCTTCATGAGCATCCTTTTTCGCATTTCACTGTCCTTTACTGAGACTAATCCCTGTACGAAAATAAAACACTTAAAATTGTCCGGAGTCAATTCTGCCAATTTAAAGTCATCGCAATGTTTGTTCACAAATGCGGCGAACGTGGAGTAGTCCTCATTTTCGCTTTTTACGAGATTAAGACATTTCCACCTTTTGTGAAAAAGTGAAGTCTGTGGACTGAAGTGCTCCGTAAGGCATGTAACAGCTTCGTCAAACGTCAAATCGTTTGTCTTTGTGGACGTTGGCAACGGCACTTTTTTTTAATTCCTCGTGAAGTGCGAAATCCTCGTCGTGGAAGTTGTTGTGGATTCCTTGAATGGAATCCTACACAAATAAATAAATAACGCCAGTAATTGAGATAGAAAAATAAGTGTATGAAACGTAAGAATACAAACTTGAAGCGAAAATTAGTAGTCCAGGAATGCGGGTTAGTAGAAAGTTTATGTACAAGTCTCTGTAAGTAAAGCCGTAATCATCGTTCTCTCTCTCTCTCTCTCTCTCTCTCTCTCTCTGGACTCTTGTATAACTCTCTGAGAACACCCTGTGTCTGTCTCCGTATCTCTTAATCTGTCTCAACGTATCTCAACAGCACGTATTCTCTCTGTCAGTATAAGTATACTTTGGACGAGTCCACCTTATGTAAAAAGGGGAGAGCCCCACAACAGATAGATAGATAGATAGATATATAGATAGATAGATTGAAACTGAGATAGATAGATAGATAGATAGATAGATAGATAGATAGATAGATATGAATAAGTTGAGAGATATGAATAGACTGAGAGATATAAATAGATAAGTATATAGGAAGGAATAGATAGATAGATAGATAGATAGATAGATAGATAGATAGATAGAAACTGAGCTAGATGGATAGATAGATATGAAGAGACTGATAGATAGATAGATAGATAGATAGATAGATAGATAGATAGATAGATAGATATGAATAAGTTGAGAGATATGAATAGACTGAGAGATATAAATAGATAAGTATATAGGAAGGAATAGATAGATAGATAGATAGATAGATAGATAGATAGATAGATAGATAGATAGAAACTGAGCTAGATGGATAGATAGATATTAAGAGACTGATAGATAGATAGATAGATAGATAGATAGATAGATAGATAGATATGAATAAGTTGAGAGATATGAATAGACTGAGAGATATAAATAGATAAGTATATAGGAAGGAATAGATAGATAGATAGATAGATAGATAGATAGATAGATAGATAGATAGATAGATAGATAGATAGAAACTGAGCTAGATGGATAGATAGATATGAAGAGACTGATAGATAGATAGATAGATAGATAGATAGATAGATAGATAGATAGATAGATAGATATGAATAAGTTGAGCGATATGAATAGACTGAGAGATATAAATAGATAAGTATATAGGAAGGAATAGATAGATAGATAGATAGATAGATAGATAGATAGATAGAAACTGAGCTAGATGGATAGATAGATATTAAGAGACTGATAGATAGATAGATAGATAGATAGATAGATAGATAGATAGATAGATATATGAATAAGTTGAGAGATATGAATAGACTGAGAGAGATATAAATAGATAAGTATATAGGAAGGAATAGATAGATAGATAGATAGATAGATAGATAGATAGATAGATAGATAGATAGAAACTGAGCTAGATGGATAGATAGATATTAAGAGACTAGATAGATAGATAGATAGATAGATAGATAGATAGATAGATAGATGAATAGATATGAATAAGTTGAGAGATATGAATAGACTGAGAGATATAAAATAGATAAGTATATAGGAAGGAATAGATAGATAGATAGATAGATAGATAGATAGATAGATAGATAGATAGAAACTGAGCTAGATGGATAGATAGATATTAAGAGACTGATAGATAGATAGATAGATAGATAGATAGATAGATAGATAGATAGATAGATTTTGATCACTGAAAAAATGAAACAAACAGACAAAATGTTACGTATATATGTATATGCATTCCCATTATTATATCAGTAATAAAATATTTTCACAAAAACAGAATTTTAACCACATGATCTGTAATCTTATGAAATTATAAACGGCGACAAAGACAAACCTCTTCTAACGCTAATAAAGCCACTAGTACTTGCAGCAGAGCATTCACTAATATTGCAAATGAAATCATCGAAATAATCCCTGTAAAGCCCAAAGGTTTGGATGATGATAAAAAAAAAAGAACTAAAAAGAAAGCGGAGAACGTAAACGCTGCTTAATAGAAAGTATTTAAAATAATCAAGAAACACGTACACAATTTTAAGAAATAATGTCAGCTAAAAGAAAACAAAATAAGAAATTTAGAATTGTGTTTCTTGCCCCTGGACACGGAAGTAGAAGTTGTACATTTTCGATAGCAAAACGAGGCCCACATAGACAAGCGCACACACAGACAGTAGTTTTATTTATTCCGCCGTTAATTTCCACAGTAAGTTACAAATATAAATCAACAATAATCAATACCCTTTTCACATGTAGAAGGAACGTATAAATATTAATAGGAACAGATAAGTTCGCCTATCGTCCGGTTGAACAGGGGAAGAGGTTTATCCCTTGTTTCCTGTTCAGGATTGGATTTCCATCTCCTTCTAAAGTCTACTTCATCTCTGTATTTCTAACGTCTCCACCTGAACGATGTAATTTTCTTAACTATTTATTTATTTTTCCGTAATATTTGGAGGACATAGGTTCGCTTTATCAAAACTGTGAGGACTTGGTTGCTCCTGTTCATATATCGAAGCAGTATACCATTTTCATCAGGATCTGGGCTGATTTTAAGATTTTAGGTGCTTCCAGCACGGGCCTTACATGGAGGAACATCTGTTCATTTTGATCTGTGAAGTTTCTAGGTTCTCTCAGTGATGATTTTACATCCCTAGTTTGCTTTTCAAGACCTCGAATGTGACCTGCAAGTTTTTTTTCTTTTTTGTACTCACTAACATGTTAGAGCTAAATGCCTCGGGGAAGAATAGCTTCCTTTGTTTCTAGCGAAATTTGATTTTCTTAATACGTTGTTTAGTTTCTGGAAGGCATCTTTTCCTATTCATATGCGTCTCGGGATTTCTATGCTATATCTTTCCGTTTTCTGTCGGCATTACGATTGTTAAAATTTTTTTTTTTAATAAACTTCATTGAAAAAGATTTATTTGTTGTTGTTTAGTAATAGCTCTCATATTATCGTGAATTTTGCTAAAATAAATTTCAAATTTGGTGTAGTTTTCTTACTGATGAAAAAGGAAGAAAATAAGTAAGATTTTCGGTATACTTTATATTTTAAACTAAAAATGCAACTCAAACATTAAAGTAATTTCTGCTGTTCAGGTTTGGTCTTCTTCTCTTTCTTCTTCTTCTTCTTCTTCTTCTTCTTCTAATAATAATAATAATAATAATAATAATAATAATAATAATGTAATATCTGCACTGGAAAATATGCAGCCTTTACGGGAAGAGAACTGCAAGAAACTGGTATGAACATCACCTGGACTTAGTTACGGAGATAAGGACCTGTAACAATTTTATGGGAGTTTATAATACGCACACACGAACAATCAAAGCTAATGGCTCAGACATCGTGATCAGAGACCACAAAGACAGAATGTGATTTCTTATTGACATGGCAATCGCTGCAGACTGTAATGTATATTTGAAGATCTACAAAAAGCTGTCAAAACACAAGGACCTTGAAATGGAAATCTAAAAAATGTAGCACATGAAAATCCCTGTTATAGTTGGGCCCCTCGGGTTGATTGGATAATATTCTAATAGACTCATTGAAGGGATTCCTGGAAGCCCATACCTTAAAGAAATGAAAAAAAAAAGTTCTCACAAGTACAGCCCACCCCTTACGAAGGGCTTTATCTGTGTAAAATATGTTGTTTTTTTTTTTTTTGGGGGGATATTTTTTAAATTGCTCATTCAAAAATGTCATGATGCTATTTTTGACTTTAGGTCTCTGTTGGGTTTGGTTTGGTTTGTTTTGTTTTACGGCATATCAACCTCAATGGGTCATTTAATGTCGACAACTTATCTTTTTTCCAGGTAATATTTTTGTTTTGTCAAAAATCTATTTCTGGTAATATTTTTTTCCTCAAAAATTTATAGATGCTAATATTCTTTCCAAAAAATGTATTGCTGGTAATAGTTTTTTTCTTCAAACATTTATTTCTAGTAATATTTTTTTACAAAGTATTTCTGGTATTAAAACCTATTTTTACACTTTTATAATGCTTTTTACCTCAGTTTTGGGGTTAACTATTTTCCCATAGCTGGGACCCTAACAGGTGCTACCGCCTCGGGTCAGGGTGGACCTGGGAACATCAGCAATTAAAAGGTGTTCCACACTCCTCAAAGCCTCCTGATCAGAGGCCTTGCTGTTGGACGTAGTTTATCGTTTTACTCTGGACGCGGATGTAGTTTATCGTCAAACCCAGGACAGGTCTTTGGTGGGGATTTGGGAAGAAATACAATACACAGAGACAGAACAATCAAAGCTAATCCCCCAGACATCGGGATTAAAGACCATAAAAACAGAATGTGCTTTCTTATTGACATGGCAGTCCCTGTACACACCAGAAATCAAAGGAAATAATAATAATAATAATAATAATAATAATAATAATAATAATAATAATAATTGAACATTTCGCTGTGATATCTCACAGCCAAGATCCTAATATGGGGGAAAATAAACCAAAATAAAAGTCATTCAATTGAAATTAATGACTGGGATCACTATCATCAACGTGTTTCATCAAATGCTTGCGACAAAAGCAGACAACGAGTAGTAAGGATGTCAATCAATAATCTCAGTCCCAAATACTCAGGAGAAGAAATTATGATGATCTATAATTAACAGGGAGTATCGGGGAAGATGATTAATATCCAGCGGTGAGTAATAAGGTCGTCAGCAAGTAGAAATGAACACTAGGTTAAGCAAAGAGTAACAACGATTTCAATAAATAATAGAAAAGGATTAACAACGACAACAAGCATTAATTTCCAGACTATTGCGCTATAATGTCAGTCAATAAAAGACAGAAGTAGTAACAACGACAATCGATAACTGAAATGCAGTTGTCACGATGACAATCAATGATAGACAATAACAACTATGTCGATCAATATTTTTTAAAGTGATGTTCACTTGCGCAAAACCCAAGAGCTACTCGATGTAGGGAATTACAGATTAAGAAGCACAGTTTATGCTGATATGCAGGAAACTGTTGTAATGGAATGTCCCACACTAAGCTGGTCGAACTCTCTGCCCAAAGGCAGAGAGAAACCCAGACGATGCTATGCGAAGGGCAGAGTCCCGTCTGGGGGTGGTAGACAGCTACCCAATCCCGTTTTTAACGAGGTCTACAGGGAATTTTTGCCCAAGCCTACGGGCTCGGATACCCCACGTTAAATTCGGCCTTGTAGCAAACCTGACAGCGTGTGACTGTTGGCAAATATCCTTGCATCTGTAATTAGTTGGAGATTTATCTCCAGTTATACCTGTCGAACTCTCTGCCTTATGGCAGAGAGGAACCCAGGCGAGGCAATGCCAAAGGGCAGAATCTCTACGGGGAATTTTTGCCCGAGCCTACGGGCTCGGTTTTGGCCCGCATTAAAACGGCCTTGTGCCTCATCCTGCGTCACGGGGACGTAAGGTAAATATCCTTGCTTCGGGAATTAGATTAGAATTGGAGATTCGTCTCCAGCTGTCCTGGTCAATCTCTCTGTCTCTGGGCAGAGAGAATCCCTAGACGAGGCTATGTCGAAGGGCAGAGTCTCGTCTCGGGAAACAACTAACCGACCCCGTTTTATACGGGGAATTTTTAGCCGAGCCTACGGGCTCGGATACCCCACAAATTCGGCTTTGTGCCACATCTGACCGTGTGAGGCTTGTAGATATCCTTGCTTCGGGAATTACTTGCCTGCTAACCGATTTCCTGTCTTTCAGTAGTGTATTCTCTTTTAAAATAAATCTCTCTTTCTTTCATCTACGCGCGTGTTGCTTTTCCTTCCCTCGAGTACCACCTTTGTCAGTTTGTAACCTCTTTAAGGATAGAACAGAAACATAACTGTTAAACCTAGACTTAAACAGATTAAGATTGTAGTGTCCGAGGAGGTAAGCAGAGAAGATTAGATAGAAGATAGCAAAGACGTCAATCAATAATAAACAGGGTGTCGTAATGATGTCGATCAATATTTGTCAGGGTCGGTGTTCAATAATGAAAGCAACGACCGACGCACTTGACACACACATTGTTGGTACTCCCTTGCTATCGAGGGAAGATTTGATTTTTCTTACAGCCTTGTGGACTAAAGATAGACAGTGCTTAATTTTTGTTTTTTAATCAATTCACACCAAGCAAGGCGATAATGCTACTAACACGCAAGTGGCTACTGGAAGTAACAGAGAATAATAAGATTTTAGAAGGAATCGTAAACCCACTCCCAAACAGAAAACAAGGGATAGACCACTACTCCTGTTCAAGTTACCGGGGAGAATTGCGAACCGGACGATAAGTGAACCTATCTACTCCTATTTAGAAAAAAAGAGTTTAGATGGAAAAGTTAGTGTTTTATTTTTTTTCTTCTCTTGTTTAATGAATTTTAATTGTTTATTTAGTTTATTGAATAAAAAAAATTGACAAAATCGAATTTCTTTTAAATTTTGATGCTATATCTGCAATAAACTAATAAATCAAATAAATTAAAGATAGCAAAATGCTTGCCACAAAACAACTCAGATTAGTTCTGTTTCTATAAAAATATTTATGTTTACCTGAAGTATCCGGAACAATGGATGGACAGTCCCTTACTGGACATTTGTGTCCAGGACAATTACTTACCAGACAATTGCGCCCCTGAACAATTGCGTCACTAGACAAATGCGTACCTCTGATAATTTTTTGAAGTTATCATTTTTTTTAAACAGTTGTTTAATATAGAAATTTGTACATCAATACATTAAATTATTCTAAATAAGCAGAAAGGTAGTTGCCATAAATAAAAAAAGAGAGAAAAGATTCTTTTTTAAAAGCAAAAGAAAATTAAACTAGCCTTTTCAGATCACTCCAGCAAAGCGTACCACAAGCATCTAATAGATTCTGGATTTTACGGATTATATTTTTTTCGAACACATGGCTAAGTTCCGAAAATGAAAACTTGGTGGGAAAATATTTGTGTAGAGGGAAAATTACAGCTATCATGATAAGAAAAACGTCTATGAAACAAAAACGCACTTGCGATGTATAGAGTGATTTTGCAAAGCTGTTTGCTATTGTATTTTAAACAAACTTTTAATTATATTTTTTTATTCTTTTTATTACTTTATTCGAAATTTATGATTACTGCCTAAGCTTTTTCAAAATTTATGGCAATTGCCAGTAAAAGCTTCAAAAGATAATCAGAGGTACGCAATTATCCAGGGACGCATTTGTCTAAGGACGCAAATGTCCATGGACGCATTTGTCTAGGGAAGCAAATGTCAAGGGGCTCATTTGTCTAAGGACGCAATGTCCAGGGACGAATTTATCTAGGGACGCAAATGTCCAGGGACGCATTTGTCAAAGGATACAATGTCCAGGGACGCATTTGTCTAGGGAGGCGAAGGTCCAGGGAGTAATTTGTCTAAGGACGCAATGTCCAGGGACGCATTTGTCTTAGGACGCGAACGTCCAGGGAGTAATTTGTCTAAGGACGCAATGTCCAGGGACGCATTTGTCTAGGGACGCGAACGTCCAGGGAGTAATTTGTCTAAGGACGCAATGTCCAGGGACGCATTTGTCTAGGGACGCGAATGTCCAGGGACACATTTGTCTAAGGACGCAAATATCCAGGGACGCATTTGTCTAAGGACGCAAATGTCCAGTGACGCATTTGTCTAGGGACGCAAATGTCCAGGGATGCATTTGTCTAGGGACGCAAATGTCCATGGAGTAATGTGTCTAGGGACGCAATTACCAAGGGACGCATTTGTATAAGGACGCAAATGTCCAGGGACGCATTTGTCCAGGGACGCAAATGTCCATGGAGTAATGTGTCTAGGGACGCAATTACCCAGGGACGCATTTGTTTAAGGACGCAAATGTGTAGGGAGTAATTTGTCTAAGGACGCAATGTCCAGGGACGAATTCGTCTAGGGACGCAATGTCGCAATGGGACAGGGACGCATTTGTCTAAGGACGACGCAAATGTCGGAACGGGACATTTGTCTAAGGACGCAAATGTCCAGGGACGCATTAGTCCAGGGACGCATTTGTCAATATCCAGGGACGCATTCGTCTAAATGTCCATGGACGCATTTCTCTAGGACGCAAATATCCAGGGGACGCAAACGCATTTCAGGGACGCATTGTCCAGGGACTAGGGACCGCAAATCCAGGGACACATTTGGGACGCAAATGTCCATGGACGCATTAGTCTAAGGACGCAAATGTCCAAGGGAATGTTTTTCTAAGAAATCAATATCCAGGGACGCAATTCGTCTAGGGTCGCAATTGTCCATGGACGCATTTGTCTAGGGACGCAAATATCCAGGGTCACATTTGTCCCTAAATGGACGCAATGTCCAGGGACGCATTTGTCTAGGGACGCAAATGTCCATCTAATGGGGGACGCAAATGTCCAGGGACACATTTGTCTAAATGGACGCAAATGTCCATGGACACATTACGTCTAAGCAAATGTGACTAAGGACAAAAGGGACAGTCCAGGGACGCAAATGTCCAGGAACGCATTTGTCTAAGGACGCAATCCAGGGACCAATGTCCAGGGACGCATTTGTCTGTCCATGGACGCGCAAATTTCCAGGGACGCATTTGTCTAGGGACGCAAATGTCCATGGACACATTTGTCTAAGGACGCAAATGTCCAGAAATCAATATCCAGGACGCATTCCCTAATTGTCCATGGACGCATTTCTCTAGGGACGCAAATGTCCAGGGTCACATTTGTCTAAGGACGCAAATATCCATTTCTCTAGGACGCATTTTTTTCTAAGGACGCAAATGTCCAGTGACGCATTTGTCTAAAAAGGGACGCAAATGTCCAGGGACGCATTTGTCTAGGGACGCAAATGTCCATGGGGACGCAATGTAACGTTTCCCTAGGGACGCAAATACCAAGGGACGCATTTGTATAAGGACGCAAATGTCCAGGGACGCATTTGTCCAGGGACGCAAATGTCCATGTGTCCATGGACGAAATGTCCATGGATGTGTCTAGGGACGCAATTACCCAGGGACGCATTTGTTTAAGGACGCAAATGTCCAGGGACGCATTTGTCCAGGGACGCAATTTGTCCATGGAGTAATGTGTCTAGGGACGCAATGTCCAGGGACGCAATTGTTTAAGTCTAGGGACGTCCATGTCCAGGAACCAGGAACATTTGTCTAAGGACGCAATGTCCAGGGACGCTAATGTCCAGGGACGCATTTGTCTAAGGACGCAAATGTCCATGGACGCATTAGTCTAAGGACGCAAATTTCCAGGGACGCATTTGTCTAAGGACGCAAATGTCCATGGACGCATTAGTCTAAGGACGCAAATGTCCAGGGAGTAATTTATCTAAGAAATCAATATCCAGGGACGCATTCGTCTAGGGTCGCAATTGTCCATGGACGCATTTCTCTAGGGACGCAAATATCCAGGGTCACATTTGTCTAAGGACGCAATGTCCAGGGACGCATTTCTCTAGGGACGCAAATGTCCAGGGACACATTTGTCTAAGGACGCAAATGTCCATGGACGCATTAGTCTAAGGACGCAAAAGTCCAGGGAGTAATTTATCTAAGGACGCAATGTCCAGGGACGCTTTTGTCTATGGACGCAATTGTCCAGGGACGCATTTGTCTAGGGACGCAAATGTCCAGGGACACATTTGTCTAGGGACGCAATGTCCAGGGACGCATTTGTCTAGGGACGCAAATGTCCAGGAACACATTTGTCTAAGGACGCAAAAGTCCAGGGAGTAATTTATCTAAGGACGCAATGTCCAGGGAGTAATTTGTCTAAGGACGCAATGTCCAGGGACGCATTTGTCTAGGGACGCGAACGTTCAGGGAGTAATTTGTCTAAGGATGCAAATATCCAGGGACGCTTTTGCCTAGGGCCGCGAATGTCCAGGGACACATTTGTCTTGGGAGGCAAATGCCCAATGACGCATTTGTCTAGGGACGCAAATGTCCAGGGACGCATTTGTCTAGGGACGCAAATGTCCAGGGAGTAATTTTTCTAGGGACGCAATAACCTAGAGACGCATTTGTCTAAGGACGCAAACATCTAGTGACGCATTTGTCTAGGGACGCAACTGCCCCGGGACGCATTTGTCTAGGGACGCGAATGTCCAGGGAGTAAATTATTAATTTGTCTAAGCACGCAATTATCCAGTGACGCATTTGTCTAAGGACGCAAATGTCCAGGGACGCATTTGTCTAGGGACGTAAATGTCCAGGGACTCATTTGTCTATGGACGCAACTGTCCAAGAACCATCATGAACCTATTATAATCATGATCAATGCCGCTGGCTTTCAGTAGACTTATCACTTCTTGTAAATGTTACGATTTCCATCTGCAATATAAAAGAGGATTGGGCAAACTTGCTTAATGTAAAATCCCTATACAATAAATTTCAGATGTTTGAGAACTACAAGAGATGAACAAAATGTAGATATGTGACAGTTATAGCAGATAAGACACAAAGGTTTATCTCCTTTAATGGGGAATGCAAGATCTTCTTCCCAGTCTGGCTTAAAATTTATTTTCATCTACGTATTTTCGTTTCTTACAATTTGAAGGGTGTCATTTTCCTTCACAAAATTTTCATAGAGACTTTTAAACAAAACTTGTATCCAAAGTGTACCAATTCGATTTGTACAGTTCAATGATTTGTGTTACACTGCGTTAATGTAGATGATGTGAAGGCGGGATTCCTTAATGTCTTTACCCATGATCTCAGTCTACTGACATTCTCCTGTAAACCTTTGCTGACCGGAAATGCCTTTAAACCCTCTGCCTCCCACCATTCCTTCCTCTGCCTTCCACCATTCCCTCCCTCTGCCTCCCACTATTCCCTGCCGCTGCCCCCCCACTATTCCTTCCCTCTTTCACACCCACTATTCCTTACCTCTGCCTCCCACCATTTCCTCCCTCAGCCTCCCACCATTCCTTCACTCTGGCTCACACCATTCCCTCCCTCTGCCTCCCACCAAACCATCCTCTGCCTTCCACCATTCCCTCCCTCTGCCACCCAATATTCCCTCCCGCTGCCCCCCACCATTCCTTCCCTCTTTCACACCCACTATTCCTTACCTCTGTCTCCCACCATTTCCTCCCTCTGCCTCCCACCATTCCCTCTCTCTGCCTCCCAACATTCCTTCCCCCTGCCTCCTACCATTCCCTCCACCTGCCTCCCACCATTCCTTCCCTCTTTCCCTCACACCATTCCTTCCTCTGCCTCCCACCATTCCCTCCCTTTGCCACCCAACATTCCCTCCCTCTGCCTCCCCACCATTCCTTCCTCTGCTTTCCACCATTCCTCCTCTTTGCCTTCCACCATTCCCTCTATCTGCCACCCACCATTCTCTCCCTCTGCCACCCAATATTCCCTCCCGCTGCCCATCACCATTCCTTCCCTCTTTCACACCCACTATTCCTTACCTCTGCATTCCACCATTTCCTCCCTCTGCCTCCCACCATTCCTTCACTCTGGCTCCCACCATTTCCTCTCTCTGCCTCCCAACATTCCTTCCCCCTGCCTCCTACCATTCCTTCCCCCTGCCTCCCACCATTCCTTCCCTCTTTCCCTCCCACCATTCCTTCCCTCTTTCCCTCCCACAATTCCTTCCTCTGCCTTCAACCATTCCCTCCCTCTGCCTCCCACCATTCACTCCCTCTGCCACCCACCCATTCATTCCCTATGACACCCACCATTCCCACCCTCTGCCACCCAATATTCCCTCCCGCTGCCGCCCACCATTCCTTCCCTCTGCTTCCCACTATTCCTTCACTCTGGCTTCCACCATTCCTTCTTCCTGCCTCCCACCATTCCTTCCCCGTGCCTCCCACCATTCCTTCCCTCTTTCCTTCCCACCATTCCTTCCCTCTTTCCTTCCCACTATTCCTTCCCTCTGCCTCCCACCATTCCCTCCCTCTGACACCCACCATTCCCTCCCTCTGACACCCAATATTCCCTCCCTCTGACACCCACCATTCCTTCCCTTTTTCTCTCCCACTATTCCTTACCTCTGCCTGCCACCATTTCCTCCCTCTGCTTCCCACCATTCCTTCACTCTGGCTCCCACCATTCCCTCCCTCTGGCTCCCACCATTCCCTCCCTCTGCCTCCCACCATTCCTTCCTTCTGCCTCCCACCATTCCTTCCCTCAGCACTAAAGAACAATGTCTCATTCAAATCCAGCATTAAAATTAGGATTTAAATAGTTTTTACTAACAATGAACATTAATCATACGTTTGAATCCAGTGGGTTTTCATTTCAGACTTAGTCAGTTATGTGCCATACGTGATACACACTTTCGATACACGGCCGATGAGGCAGATTTTTTCCCGCAGTAGGTTGCCATTTCTTTCTGCGGTAGTCAAATTGCGATCCAAGGCTACAGAACCAGGTCTATTTACCCATAGCTGGAGAAGAAAGAAGAAAAGGAGTCATACTTTTCCCCAAGGGTATTAACACGTAAGTGAATGTGATGAATTCGACTGGAATTCGAACTCGGATCTCCGATTCATCAATCCGAGCCGCTGTCCATTACTTTAGTGTGCATAACAGAACCTAAACAGGAAAGCGCTTTGTCAACCTAACTTCGCAGAGGCTCACCAATTGCTGCTGATGCTAACATGATTTTACAAAATATGTTTGTTTCCTAAATTCAACTGCGTTTGGCACAAGGTTACAATGATTGGATACGCGGGAAGAGCGAACTGACAACAGCTTGGCAAGAGAAACTTGCTACCAACTGCAGACGCCTGTGGCCATGTCAGTGTCAAGCTGATGAGTGCAAATGTATTGATATTGTACCTAACTCGGGCTTACGAGATTAAGTTGTTTCAATCAGTCTTAACATTGAATAAAATGCACAGCTTCTCTCTTTATGATTGAAAGATAAAAACCATAATAATGTCAAGGCTGACTGCGTTTGAGAGAAAGCGAGCGAAATAAGGAGAGGGAAACAGAGAGAGAAAGAAATGTTTAAGAGTGAGATTGACCCAATAAGCAGGTAAGTATGTGCCAAGCAATCATATGCATGTATATTTAGGCAGCATATGTTCATTCAAGCATGTTTCGTTGAATAATCTGGACATATTATATCTATCTATTTTCATTTTATTCCTTTCGAATTCTCTAATTGACTTCTTAGTGTTGATATTAAATTCAGTAAGGAAGAAACCATAGTTTTTTTTTAAGTTTTTTTTTTGTCTTTTCTTTTTTTATTTTCCCAAGTACTATCAATCTCTTCCGAGATCGTCTTCAAAGGTGAATGTTTTGTCTTAGAATTTCAGCGCAGAAGATGATAACGGATGAGACTGAATATACTTGGGAAAATAAAATTGAAAAGAAAAGAAAACTCTACGAAGCCTTCTATAATGAAAGTAATGTCTACATTAGTAAGTCGATCAGAGGAATCGAGACGATTATTATATATATATATATATATATATATATATATATATATATATATATATATATATAGATAGATAGATAGATAGATAGATAGATAGATATAAACATTTATTCGAAAATTATAACATAACATTTCAACACTTCTGGTGTCTTATCGAGTGATGGTGTTGAATATAAAATAAAAGGTTTTAAAAGTTCAAATCTAGGGGAAACGCTAATGACTATATTTGCTCTACTCTGTATTGATCACTCTTTTATGAATAGTATTTTTGGTTATTGGAATTTATTCCGTATACACCAATCCTATACTTGGGTATATATATATATATATATATATATATATATATATATATATATATGTGTGTGTGTGTGTGTGTGTGTGTGTGTGTGTGTCTGTGTGTATGTGTGTGTGTGTATGTGTGTGTGTGTGTGAAGAAATATAGTCTTAAGATGTGCTTTATTTATGGGATAAAGTGCTCAATATCAGAGACAGAGCGTGTGTAAATATAAAAGTGAACATAGAAGTTTCATGCTAGATGCAATCTCGTGGCCTGACGACGGCATCTCGCATAAATCAGACTGTCGCCTCTAAGTGTTGATTTCTATGTTCACTTATATATATATATATATATATATATATATATATCAGATACTGGAGGTGGGTGAGTTATCTTTTCTTCATGTGGCGATAAACCGACATACAAACATGGTATCACTGATGATTGTGGAGGATATGGCAGTGACAAATGTATCTTAATTATAGCCAGATACAGTTCTTTTTGTTTAAGGGAGTTGGTAGGCTAATCAAACGTAAAGTTAACAAGAATTTTTTTTTATATATTCAAGAAGCTTCTTAAAAGTCCCTGCAGATAAAATTAAAAATGTGGAACATCTATATATGACGTTAATAATACTAAAGAGATGGTAATACTTAGCTATATTTCAGCTGAATAAACAAAATAAGCTAATAACCCGTATAAGGTGGTCCATTATATATTAATAAATTATGGCTATAAAAATTGGTAATACGTAATCATTTCTTTTTTAAAACTTTAACTATATTTTAAGGTAAAAAATAAACTGTGTGGGCAGTTTACACTTAATTCACTCCTTTGATTTAACAGCGCTTTTTTGTCAGCAAATTTCATTATTTGTAATTTTTCTTGTAAGCATGGTTCATTTAACGATTTAGAAGTTCTATTTTTTTTTTCAATTTTACTCTAGGGGTTTTGATAACTTCTTTTACTTTTAATTCTATAAAGGTATGTTCTATTTCTGTATGCGTTGTTGGTGAAAGATCATATATATTGGTACCACTTAGTTTTAAAGAAATTTTTGGTACTCCCGAAATAATTCTTTTTTAACTGTTGGGTCTCATTAGTAGAAATGTGCATATGTATAGCTGTCCACTAGTATTCGAGAATAACTATCTACTAAGGCGGCTAGCTAATCCCTATTGAAGATGCTGTCTCAGGCGCATTTGTCTTTATTCAAAACCCACAGGGCTCACCTGTGGTTTATACTGCAACTATGCTGAGCCGACCTTAGTTACAGTTTCTGGAAAAGAGCATGTTATCTAGCGTAATCCCCAATTTGAAGGCCAGCACGCTAAATCCCTCGGCCACAATGACTTGTGACTATCGAAATAAAACCTATTTTATTTCGGAGTCAATAAAACAGGTCGGTTCTCAGTTTGACCTGCCGTAGGATCGGCCAGTCTTGCCTTGAAGTCAGAACGCTAGGGATGTGACGGATAAGGAAAATTTTATATGCTTTTTTTATCCAGTTTTGCTAAGGGTCTTACAGGTTTCATTTTATAGATTGTCTATAAACTGATCGCTATGGTTAACGTCCCAAGCGCTTTCGGTTAATTCCTTAGCCATTTCCAAGGGGTTCATTATTAGTATATTTTCACCTGTTGATTTTCTAAGTTCTATAGATGTCGTAGTAATTCTAAGCCGTGCCGGATTGGAGTAGTAATAATTCCATTCTGGATTTTGTCTTTAAACAGCGCCAAAACGTTTCCTCCCGTTTTCAAATAGTGCATGAGTGAGACTTGACTTAAACTGTTTTATGTGAATTGCTTCAAATATCTTAAGATGTGCATGAAAACGAAAGGAAAACTTATCTTAACCGAGGCGTTTCGTCCTTTTTGAAACTTTATCAAGAGGACGAAACGAGTGGGCTAAGATAATTTTTCTTTTTGTCTTTATTCATATTGTTCTCTTGCATATATACTCTAGCAGAAATCTTAAGATGTCTTTTAAAATTAGATATTCTTAAAATGACAGTGCTGTATATAAGGTAATAGTGAGAATCTGACTCAATATTCAGTAGTCATAATAATCTAAACTAGGGCGCTAAAAGTTACCAGACCCCAAAATGTCGGCTTAGTTTTAACACAAGGCAATAAATCGATATTAAGATCGGAGTGATTATCAATGATTTATAATTACTGGTTGCTGATCATATTAAGCACGATGATACGCCCCATTATCTATTAAGCTTAGCTTAGATTTGATGTCAGGAAAATAATATTCAGCACCCGGTTAGAATCGAAGTCTCTAGTATATTCATGTTGCTTCTTAACTATTACACAAGGTGGGAAGGTGAGGGCTATGTTGCTTGGAGTCATTTAAACGCATATCAGTTTTGATGTAGTGTTAACAAAATCTAAAAAGTTATGATTTCAACTCCTATGAAAGATCTTATAAGCGACGATTCCGACATGAAAGTAAATCCTATCTCATATTCATAACACCAATTGTTTATCTTTCAGAACATAAGCATCAGCGCAAAAACGAATGCAATATTCTTCCCCAACTGAGGACATTATAATTATCAGAAAAATATGCAGAAAATGCAGAAAGCTTTAAACTTATGTTTCTTCATGACAATGGTGATGGGGAACTGAACCATTTCGATAAAGAATATTTGTCAGTTATCGATCGAAGAGTTTAGGGTTCCAGCCAGTTGAAAATTATATAATATTCCTCTTAACAATGTTTCTAAAAAGAATTATAAATCCCAGGTTATTTTTTAACTTTAATGAAAACTGGTTTTGTTGTCTATAATTTTGACTAAAGTGCAAATCGAATTTGTATCTGGATTTGTGTCAACATTTTTAACATTCGTACAACTCTGGCATATATCTACATTTTTTTTTTACTATCATGCAAACTGGACTTGTGTCTACCTTAAAATTCTAGTGCAAACTGGACATGTCTACTTTTTGACTCTCGCCTAAAATGGACATGTTATCTACTATGTCAACCACTATAGTGCCAAAGTTGTGTCTACCGTTTTTTTAAAATTTTTTTATAGTTCAAAGCAGACCTATGTCTATACTTTTTTTTATACTTGAATGAAAAACAAACTCGTGTCTACCTTTCTTTTATACTTTAGGGCAAAACTAACCTGTGTATACATTTCTTTTTATACTTAAGGTCAAAACAAACCTGTGCCTACCTTTATTTTCACTTTAAGGCAAAACAAGCCTGCATATACATTTCTTTTTTACTTAAGGGCAAAACAAACTCGTGTCTACCTTTCTTTTATACTT